GTGACATTTCTCTGGCAACAGAAATACGACTCGACGGAGCGTATAACGCGACACCCGACGCTGAAGAGGAAACCGGTCGCGCGAACTGCAACAGCAGGGAGCAAGCACCGTGTCTCGTATCGCGACTATGCTCGTTTCGGATGACAAAACAAGGATTGTTACGTTTCAGTTCGACTAGGAACTTTAACTCGTTCGAATGTATAGAAAACGATGAATTTTCGAATAGCTAAGAATTTAAGAACCGTGCGTCGCCGACCGTTCGGACGGATCCTTGGTATCCATAGAGACTTGAACTTCACTTTCCAAACTGGTCTCCTTTAATTCCAAGTAAACAAATGACGTCGTTTGTTTCGTTTAACGTCACAGAGTAAATTCAATGCGATCGGAGCGACTTAACCGAAGGATCATCGGTCGCTTTCCACGAGGTCGGGCTACCGATTAATGGGATCACCAGCCGCGTAAATAATTCTTTCATTCTGGCTCGTCCATTCATCCGCAAGCTACTATGTTTCTCGTCTCTCCTCGGTAATTACTATTACGACGCGTCTCTTTCTCTCGAGAGCGTCACGACGCGGGCCGACGTGTTACAGATTAAATACATCCGGTTCACGGTGGCTTATGTGAAAGTGTCGCCTCTTACTCGGCAAACGTTCTACGAATTCTTTCCAATCTATTCGAAACGTTTCAACGTCGCTTCCGGGCGTCGCGCAACCACCGGAAGTGACTGTGTTCTCGAGGATCTTTCAAAAACAACCACGTACTCGTTCGGATTGATGGGTCACCGATTATTAACCAAAAAGTTGAAATTAATCGAGAAGAAAGGAGCCATAGAAGAACGGAGTTCTCCCAACTCTCGGCAATTTAGTAGCAGTTTACACTTAACGAGGAACGCTGTCGCTTAATTGTCTCAACGAGGCGGCTCCTCCCTCGCCCTTTTTACGTGCTCACCTCGAAAGTAGCCGGGCGGCGGAATGAAAAAAGAAAACGACCAGCAGTCACTGTACGAAAGAGTGAAAGGGACTTAAAATCGAGGGTAAAGAAGTATGGCGCGAGGAGAGAAGGAGAGTGAGCCGCCCACTGAGAGCGGATGCTGGGTCGACAGGGTCACCTCTCTGGTAAAATGAATCTTTTATGTCTCGCGGGCTCGCTTTTACTGCGTCCTCGAACACCACGTTCCTTCACCAGACTCGACCAGACGTGCTTGCGATTAACCCTAACATCGATTCGTGTATATAATAAAACGAATCGTCAAACTATCGTCACCTGAAACCATTTCGAAAATGATTAAACGCGGGCGATAGAAAACTAGGACGAATTTTTCTCAACGGACAGTGTCTCTGTATATCGTTAAGGGACGTCGAACAAAAGCGAAAGTTCCTTCGGAGTCCGCGGCTGAGAAGTAAAACGTGAAAGGGACCGGGTCGAAAGAGGCCGCGCATTCTCTTTAACAAAGAGATATTGATATTAATGTCGCTTTAACGATCGCCGAGGATCTATTTAATGAAAGCGATCGTCGCGTGCCACGAGCTACCCTGTTATTCAATTTACCACCGGGCCATCCTCGGTTTTCGATCCTTCCTATTAGCGAGGCTACGTTCGACTTTGATCGAACAATGCAATAACGGGGACCAGAAGGTACGAAGGTTGTGATCGATGATAGTCACCCGATGCCTCGATACGGAGGGACAACCATAAATTCATTCAAAGGAACTTCCTTTTCCCATTTATCCAAGATCAGTTGCATGCCAGCGAAAACGGTCAGGCAAAGAATCTTGACAGTGGTGATAAAAGCGACCGGGAAATAATGAATCGCGAAACGGGAGACTAACGAGTGGCGACAGAAACGCTTCTAAATATAACCGGACCTAAATTCAACGCGTTTCAACGTTCGAGCTGTACGAGGATTGCAGGAATACATGTTCGAAAAGTGCCAAGCACCGCGGTACGTGCTTCTACTTCGTGTCGAAAAGTGGCAAGCAAAGGTCGCGATGTTTAGCTGCCAGGTACGATAATTATTCGCAAGGAAGTAATTAATAAAGAGGAATGGAGCGTTCATTGACCTCACCAATGTTTTCTTTCTTTTTCACTAAAGACAAGACACCTACAGAGTGTTTTTTCCGGAAGGAAATTCTTCTTTTTTTTAATGAATACATTGATTTATCAAATTCGTAGACTGGTTTCAAATTACGTAAGCCATCGAGGGTTCGTTCACGCATCGCAGCAGAGTATTACCAGACGCGGCCAGTGGAAATAACTTGGCGAGCGGCCAGAAAATCGGGAAAAAATATCGTCGACACGATTGTATTCGCGCGAACCGTTGGCGAAACTGCTTTGTCGTCGTTCTCTTCTCTTTAGCAACGAAACACGGTCACGTTCACGGTCGTCCAAGTTAAACAGATACCAAGAACGTCTCGTCAATTTTCGCTACGCTTTAAATAACTAAATAAACAAATTTCTAGCCGAATAAATGGAGTGGCAGAATGAAGGCGAAACGGAGTGATCGAAACGGCGCGACGCCCCGGAGGGTGAATAAATTTCGATGGAAACCCATGGAAGCATTTCCTATGACGGCGAACGACAAGGCGCAACCGGTAGAACCGTTAATCCGACGAGCACACGATCAGGAACGCCAAGGCTTATCGTTGAATCGGGAAACTACCGTAAAAAGTGCTCGACCACGCTCTCCGAGGCTGTCTTCGAAGAATCTACGATCGGGATCGTACGTGATACAACCGCGCAATATGTTTTCCCTGACAATTGCTTCGAACGAGCGTGAAAATAACCGGGAAACGAATTATTTTCTCCGGCGAGTTACAAACAACACGCGAATAATTTGCAAATCGATTTTATTTTCTGTATAAATTAATTTCGGAAAAATGTGTTAGAAAAAAATAATGATTTTTGGAGTAAAGAAAATACAGAGGTTGTTTAACGATAAAAAATTTCTACTGAATAGAATATTTGGAATTCCTTGAACGTCCATCTGGAAAAATAATAACGTTGTTTTCGAAAGTACGTGTTTACCTTTGAATGAAGGCCCGAGAAGAAAGTACGTCGTGGCGTGGAGTACGACGACATGTTGATTTTGTTGACGACCATTGTCATGGCAGCACCAAAGCGTGTTTCTTCGATCGATTTCTTTCGTTATCTCGGCTTGAAATTGGCGCGTAATTCTTCGTTTCGTGCCAGCATCGATAATATTTCACACCGTCTCTGTATGTTCGTATACTCAACTTTCGACAATTCACTGTTTCTTTATTTCACATAATCGAACAACGATCAAATGATCTAGAATCGCGAATGTTTACCGTGATTTCCTGTCATGTTTCGACGAATTCCTGAACGAAAAGATCGAGAACAATCCGCACAGTTTCAATTCGCGAAACACGCGGAATACTATATCATCGCACTGGATGCACAAATATTCGATTCGAAACGAATAATTTCATCGAAATACAGAGAATTGCGAAACGAAACGATTGAAAAATAGGAGCAAGAACACAACGATGGAAGGGTGCGCGCCACACTGACGCAGACGCGCGCCGTCCCTCGATATATAGTCCCCCCACCAGCCGGACGCTCGGCCAATCGGAGCGCGGCTCACTGGCGCTGGAGCTCGGCGCGCAGATATGAAAAGTGGAGGCGCATTCGTTAGAGCGGCAGCCTCGCGGTGACCTTCGAACTCGGAGGGCTGTGACTAGTACAGTGCAAACGAACCGCGAGAAGGGATAGAGTGTCGATCATTGGATGTTGTCGGGATCGAAACGATGCGAAAAGGCAAATGGTAGGGCTGGAAGGCTGGATATACGCGAGAGACAAGATCGATCGACCAGTAACCAGCGCCATAGATCGACCCCTACGCCCCGGGCATTTCAAATTATGCGTTTCTTCCCCTTTTTATAATCTCGGTCATGTCACTTAACGTGACAGTATGAGATCTATCGTATCGACGTTACGGGAGAAACCGTAAACGTTTTCGATCGAATGGAATTTCAAGGCTTCCGACGTATAATAAAAGAAAAACAGAAAGAAACGTGTTAATTGAACGATTCGATCGACTTAGCGACGGTCGTCAGCGTTTTACAACAAGTTTTCGGTCCTTGTTGAAAAAACTTTACCTCTACGCTGGGACGACGTGCTAATTCGCCGAAAACTGTTACTACCGTCGTTAATTCCGAGTTTCAATATTTGATTTTTAATATTCTGCAGGCTGGTTCGGTGTCGGCGTAGGTTTTGGCACATTTCGCGGATCCTGTTTGACCGGATGCATAAATTCTATTAGGTTACCGCATAATAGCGGCAAATATACTGTACGCATGTGCTACATTTTATTTGAACGCAACTGTAAAGTAATGTTACGTCATTCTAAACAAACAAACGAGATTGATGTTCCATATAGAAACGATTCGATCCGGAAGCTGTGATCGATAACGAGGAGAAAAAAAACAGGCTTATACTTTGAAAGCTGCGGGGTTCAATTATAAAAATTTACATGGAAACTACCATACTGACTGCAGTGAACGATTGAAAAAAGGTTCAACCATGAATATTTCCATCTCGTTACGAATCACTTAATGTAAAATTGCGAATGACGCGAGTAGAAGTAGAATCGTCAGAACCTTGCCAGCAGCGATTCTGGCTGTTGATTCTGCTTCCACCGACACGAGTCTACAATTTTCTCGAATTTCCCAAACGCCCGATTTAAAATACTTCTTTCAAATTAGGGAGACTGGGAGCCAGCCACGTTTGGGACTTGTAAAAAAAGTTTCCCCTCGACTTTCGACGAACCCTTTCACCTACGTCGCCCAAAGGGCGCCATGGAATTGGAAAATCCCGACTTCCAAGTAGAATGACGGCGGTAAGGAACAGCTGTTTCTACACTGGAATAACGTTCAAAGAGGGTCAAGGATCGATTAATGACTAATAACCATCATTAATTACTCGATAAGACGAAATTTCGATAATCAATGATCTTTCAATTAACGAAATAAAAGAAACGTTTACCCGATGCAGACTCAACGACTGGAAATTTTATAAAATTTCACTGTTACTAGGCAGCACGGATGTTAAACATTTGACCGATGTTCAATAATAAACCGAGGGAACGAGTAGTCTCTGTTGTTTGTTTCTTAGGAAGCCCGTTAGAAAACCACGTCGCGTGTTTCTTTTCATAGTAACGTCTTTGGTTGACTCACGATCAGCGTGTTTCGCGCAAACCGGAAGCGAACGATCGGTCCATTAGGTGGAAACAGAGGGCCGCGTACGAAATTAACTCCACTCGTTTCGCTGAAACAAAGTGGTCCAAGATTCGTTTCTTAAATCTCGCGCGAAATCTTTCGTTTCCTCGAAGGATAGAAAAAGCGTCGATGACACGACGGTGACATAATCGAAAGAAAAAGTAATCGTTTCCCTTTTTCCCTGTAACTGATTCTATTCTTAGGAGAATGAAAAATTTCCAATGTTATTCAAGAAACGAACGACCGTTGAATTATTCGACTAGCCTTTTATATCGACCTGCCGCGAACTTTGACATTGTAAATCAGGGTGCAGGCGTCGGCGAATCGCGTCCCGACGCGACGCCATTAATTTTACTCGAGCACGAAGACGCGAGTCCGGTTCCTATTTGCGACCAGGCGAAAAGAAAACGACCGCTTATACGGGGTCGGCATCGTAGAAGGGAAAAGAAACGAGGGTACGTGAACAGGCATCGGCGACGCGGAGTCGCGTGTAAATTTATCTTCGCGAACCGCAAACGCGTCTTTCTTCGTCCACCGAACTTTCTACGTGCACCATGTTCCATCTGACAAACTCAAATTTTAACGAGCTTCTATGTGTTCGCGGATTAGTATAAATCTTATTCACACGGTTCGATAGTTTTCCTAGTAAAAGCAAAGCAGATGAAATACGCGGTATCGAGCGATCGCGGGCATTTGGAATTTCTCGATTAACGTCGTCGATGACGATCATAGATTACAGCGATTATCGTCGCACCTATAGCTCGCAGACGTTTTCGCGTGTTGGAGAAAAACGATCTTGATCGTTGCATCGCGTCGGCGGAAATGGGGAGTAACAAAGAGGAAAGGAGACGAAACGATCGTTAATGACACGCGATGAACGCGAATTATCCGGCGTAACTGTAATTTGCGCCTTTTTTTTCCTCCCCTCTGGCTCCTCCTCGCGATTCGACCGTGTTTAGTTACGTAACGCTTGTGCAATAATTACCGATGTTTAAGCAATCGACCGCCTCCGGCGCTACCGCGCTTATCCCGCCGCGAAGATGAAAAAAGAAAACACGTTCCGTCGCTTATACCGATCTTTAAAGATCATCTTAATAAATCGCCAATAATTTTCTATACAAGAATGCAAAGATTCTGCGGGTGAATGTATCAGGGAAAAGATAAGCTGATTTTGTTCAGTTTCAAGATCCGTTCGAAATCGGCATGTTTCTTTTCCAAGTGTTGTATAGCCGAAGAGTCTCGGAGCGTGCCAAAAATACAGATGAAAACGAGCGAGTCGACTGAAAGATTTACTGGCCGGCTGACTAACGTCTCCGCGGTTAATGGTTCAATTGTTCGGATCGCTTGGTGAAATTTACTCTCCGCCGGAGTGTATCGTACGAAGAGGAAGAGCAGGCATCCTCTCGCGTGTCGTTGCCGCGTGAATTTCTCGCATCGCATCGGTCGCGTGACAAATTGCCTCGTTAATTCGATCAACGCGATTCAATTCGTTCGCTTTGATCGTGGCTGACTTTCCCGCTAAAACCGTTCTCGCATTCGCGTTTCCATGCGAAACGAATCGTTCCTCGAAATTTTTCTTCGTCCACAAGAATGAAAGACTTTGTTTTCTTCTGCACTTGGCAAATATCGGTTTCTCTTTGGCCGATCGCGAGGATAAGGATTTGGCAGCGGGGGGCGCAGGTGCGTAATACAACCTTTACGCTCCGATGGAATTTTGCCAAAGTTACGCAAACGCGTTGCCAACATAAGCGAATGTTCAAGTACGATTCGGCTTTGCCAAAACGCGCGAAGAATGGAATCCTCGGCTTTTCAATTATTTGGAATTGAATTGTTCTCGTGTAAAGGCAACTAAATTTCTTTGAAAATCTGATTGAATTTAAAAAATGCATACTTTAGACATAACTGTAGATCGTGAATGGGTCTACAGTTTCCGCCTGCTCCTGCAAATCCTCTTCGTCCTCTTCTTCCTCCTCCATTTCCGCTTCTGCTTCGTAGGATTCCTCTTCTTCGCTCGATTCTTCTAACACCATATCCTCTGCCCCCTCAGGGAAATACTCGTCTATCATTGCCTGAGCTTGCTCGTCGTCTTCGACAACGCAATAAGGCTGGATACTAGCGAACGTCAAGAAAACCTCTTCGCTCATCCTTCGAAGAATCACCACAAAGATCTCGCTTCCCGTTTGGTACTTCATCTTCGACAAGGTTTAATCTTTTGTTCAAACGATAAACGCAAACCGAAGTACTAATCGCGTTGAAGGAAACCTTTTTCTCGAAGTCCTCCGGGCAAGAAGCGATTCGTCTAGCGACGTGCGGTCTGTCGAACTCGAACGCACCGAAATATTCAACCGCATCCGGGAAGAAAGCGCAAGCGTCGCGGAGAACTTCGAATTGTTGAAAACGAAATTTGAAAGCGCAGAAAGGAGGCGGAGGGACTGGTTCGTCGTAAGGGTGCACCATCTCCACGTAGCCGGAGAACAGGGTCGTGTAAACGTGCACTTTGCTTCTGGCCTAAACGAAATTTTCAGTGAGCTGAAGAATTTTTTGTATTCTTAACATTTCGAATACATGGAAGAGTACTTGAGGAGGCACCCAAACCACAGGGTCCACTCTAGGAAAATCCTCCTCGTCCTCGGGATCGGGTTCGTGAACATACACGTATCTGTTCATGTACGAACTATCAAATTGCGGTGGATGAACTTCGCCGATCAACAACGGGGTTTTACTGGTCAATAAATGAACGAGATACTCCTCGACGTCGTTGATCGCTCTCATTGGACATCTTTTCGTTCCTTTAGGACACTCGAAGGGATAAGGTACGGGCCAATCCGGATGAGGTCGTCTACCTTTCAATCTCATCGCCACGGTTACACCGTCCATTAAACCTGAATGAGGATGTACGAAGCGAAAGAGAAGATAAGTTTCGAATAGAAAGTTCGAAGGGGCAGGAAGTGGCCGTAGATAGAACACACCTGCGATCAGTTCTTTCGTAATTTCGACGTTGCTCTCGACGAACATCTTTTCGATCATCTCTTCGGTGAAACGTATTCGTTGCTCTTCGAGAACGTCGTAGTTCTGTTTGAACAGAACGTTTATCAGTTCGGTGTACGGGGGGCTTTGGTATTTGTCTCGGCGTCTACCCTCCTCGTCCCTGAAGACCCACGGATAGAAAACCAGAGCCGTCTCTTCCGACATTTCGAACATCATTTGTGCCAGGAACGCCTCGTACTTCTCTTGCCTCTCTGCTTCTTCTTTGGCGAGTCGACGCTGCTCGATCGCTTTCCTTGAAATTTTTCAAATTTTCCCAATTTTCCTATCCGCGGTTCGAACTGGAAGAAAATACCTGATTGCTTCTTTTTCCTGCCATTGTGTCTCTTCTTCGGGGGTACGAGTGCTCGGGTGCAGCCTCATTTCCGGTTCCTCGTTCTGTTGGGCTCTTCGAATTTCCTGGATCAATAGTTTCTTCAATTTCGGACAATGCGCGCCGAACATTAGGTTAACCATTTGACCATTCTGAATGAACATCCAGACGGGCTCGCTGTTGCCACGGAATCTCTCGAGATCGGCGATATTATCGTTTTTCACGATCGCGTAGCCGATCGCGTCACCACCGATCTCCAATTTCACGTTTCGTAAGGTGCTGACCATAGCGATACAAGGACCGCACCATTCGGAATAGACGTCAGCTAAAATCAAACCTTCCCGAGCGAGCAATTGGGCCCAGTCTTCCTCTGTCTCTATCTCGGCTTGAAGAGCTACCAATTCTTTCTTCCCAGATCTGGCCATTTTAGAAATGTCTGATTAATCTTTAACCTCTTTCGTGGGATCGTCGAAACTTGAAACTGATTGTGGCTTCGAGTGCCATTCGCAGTTACCTTCAAAGATGTCTATGAAAACTGATGGAAATTTGAATTCGCATTCTTTGTCTCATTAGAATATTTTAAAAAATTTGGTAATTGCACGATCTGTACGCTAAGTATCCGTCCGGTATTTAGACCACTGCGAGATGGATCTCCTTGGTACGATGGAACTTGTGCTTGTTTTTTTCCAATCTTGATCCACAGCGTGTATTCCCAGCAGCGACGACGGATGCAAATGACGAGGGCCATATTTAATGACACGAGTTATCTTTGCCGGTAGCCGACGAACGCGGCAAAGGAGAGACCTCGTGTTTCTCGCATCCTGCGGACGTGAAGAGACGAGTGGTGAGAGATCGAGGCCGACGATAAGGTTCGTCGTCGCAACGACGATTCCCTCGTTTAATCTTCCACGTCCCTAATTCGCGGTCTAGCCGTGATAATTAGTCTGCTCGTGATCGTGCAACTACCGCCTCGCCAGTCGATGTAGCGGCGAATTGCTCCAAAATGACTAACGAAGATGCAGAAGCGAGCGTTTCTCCAGGTGAATCATACCCTGGACATTCAACGTATTTTTTTCCCAACTTTTTCTCAGAAGTCTCCGCTCCGGAACGCTTCCCACGTACGTACGCTCGGTACGCTTCCACGCTCGAGGCTGAAGCGTCGAAGAGGCGGTGCCTGGCGATCGCGCGAAATGCAAAACGATGATTCAAGTCGGCCGATCGGTGCAGGAATTATTCATTTTGCTTCGAGAAAGCAGCGACTTGTTTTTTTCGTTTCAGATCTTTTCACGCGAATGCGCCGAACGCATCGCGACGAGAATTGTGCAATTTTCTTCTGCAAACGCGATAAGCGATAATCGGACGCGTCTTTGATGTTGCTCGAAACAGAAGAAACTAATGACGATAATTTTTTTCTCTTCTAATTGCACGCTTGATTTATGATCTTTGCGTAACGTGTTATTACTCGATACAATGTCTTCGAGAAATGTTTAAGCACTTAAGACAGCCGATGTTCTTCAAGGATTTCTTTCAGAAAACAGGAAACGTCACGATTTTCGTTCTCGATAACGTCACATCGTCGCTTCTCAAATTTCGCTTAACACCGCAGACAAATTGAACTCGTATGAACCTTGAAATAAGAAGTGCAACTTTGCGAATTCCCGGTAGTTTTGATGACTCGCTAAAAAATTCAATTTTCTTTCGTGTCTCTTTCTATCTTCCACGTTATTGCACCTTTTTCCTAGTGTCTTCTTCGTCAAGGTTCATCGATACCAAAGTCGCGCGTGCGTTTTCAAGCATTTAGAGGAATTATTTAAAATTATTTATAAACGGCAAGGACGCGTTGACGGTTAGCAAGCAGCAACGATTAGAACGAATCAAGGAAGTAAATACTTCGGTTAAGGAATTCCTAGGAAATCTCTATTTTTCCGCGGTGGCTCTGTTAAATCAAAATCGTCGTCGCGACGTGGTAATTATCTCATCGCGAGAAGACGCGAGTCGGCGGCCTTAATTAGACCAAAGAGAATTTTCCCGCGTGCCCGTGCTCGTAAACATCAATGAAACGACCACGTCAGGATTATGTACACTGTACATTATGATTGTTACTCTCGGCCACGTTCATCGAGCCGTCATTTTCACGATAATATTCTAGTTCTAACGAAAAATAAACGTTCTCGGCGACATCCTAATTAGCCAGCGTGCAGAAACCTCGTTAACCCTTCAATTGAAACGACAGCAGACTGTTGCGCTTTGTATCAATAATCACCGTCAGACAGGGACTAAACACCTTCATTTGCTGAACACCCATTCTTCAACCTTTTCAGCCACGTCAAGGAAGATTTACAACTTTAAGTTGGTCGATCTAACCAACTCTAAGTCGACGAGATTATTCCTCGTGCGAGTTTCACCCTCGGATCGAGTCAGCAGATGTAACGTTTAGTATTACATCTGTTATGGCATGCAATTATCGGCTGTATCGTTAATTATTTTACCCCGAAGAAATTCGAAAGTTCCCTGTTATTTGAAGCGAGCGACAACCGTTGGTTTACTGCAAATTTGATAGCGACGCGTTATGGTTGCTTGTTAAATGTAAAAGAGGACACGAGCACCAATGGCGGTGCTATAAAGACAAATAATAGCGAAACAAGCCCAACGAGACCTAACTACGCGTATTTGCATCGGTCATTAAGGAAGAACGAGAAACTCTGCTGTCGGCTTAACAAAAGGACACGCGTTGCTTATCGCGGCTCGTGAAAGCGCGTTTTCTTGCATAACGCCATTCGTCTCTTCTGATTTCCCTTTTTTCTGCACTCGGCTCGACCGTGTTCCCATTTCGAACCGTGTATGTATCTTGCAACGTTCAAGCGAGCTTTCATAACGATATTCGCTTTCGAATTGATCAAACTAATCTAATTATCTAATTACCTAAATATCCCTAAGCTCTTCGGCCCCGTTCTTTTCGATGGTCAGCCCTGTTTGCGTTTTGACGTCAGCGCGGTTATTGATCGTCGAGGATATCCTTAGCTCCGTGCGAGCAAAAGGACTACGTACATTCTCTGCGTATAATTTATCAAAAGTGCAAAGAACAAAGCTCTTCGACCCTGCAACGATTCTGCATCTATTAGAAAGATTACTTGCTGGTCGTTCGCGATTAGTGTCACGTTCTTGGAAAATGTACATTCATTAATCCCGTCTGATGGCGAGGGATGGAGGGAGGGAAAAAATGGTCGCGAATCGATTTCGCGAGGCTGCGATAGCTCGCAGACCTTCGACGACCGCCCACTCTGCTCGGCGCTTACGATCGTAAAACTTAGCAAAATCGCGACGTGATTCATTATTAATGCCGCCATTTCGTAGCGGACTAAGGTGCAGCCACTTGCTTGCACATTTATCTTCGCGATGACGAGTTTCTGGTAAAACGTTCCTCCGACGGTCGATCGGCTCCGAGAAACATCGTTCACCTGGATATCCTTTCAATGGAAACGCATCTTTCATATGTTTTTTCCCCGATATTATTCTGAAACGAGGATTTGCTTTTCTGACTTTTAACAGCCGCTGGGGAATAATTCAGAGAACAAGAGTGTCTACGCGGTTTCTGTCGTAAATTAGCAGGAAGTTTAATAAACATACAGACTTGCTTTTCCAGCGGGCAATTTCTCCGCGGGTACGTTGCCGATCCCCGTACGAAAGCAGGGGCCATTTTCTTTTACTCGGCCAGAAGCCGAGAAACGGGGGATTCCAAGTAACGAAGCTGAGACTTTCCTCGTTTCTCTGAGCAAGTATGTAGAAGTACGGCAAATCGTGTCAAGCGTGCATCGCACGACAATCGCGAGCCTCTGACTCATGCACGCTTTCGATTAGGCTCTCCCTACGCTACTTATAGCGTCGTGCCAAGATTATTAATGCGCTTTGTACGCCACGGGGACATAAACAAATACCGGACACTTCAGTCCGTTCAGAGTGACGCGATAATGATTAGAGGATCGTTAATTGCAGAAGGAAGATTTGCATCGAGCATCGCGCGCATCGTTGACTGCAATTATTTCCACGTGTCGTTGCTTGATGAATGCTTCGGATTTTTCTTTTTTATTCTTCCAGGGTCAATTTCTTTCACTTCGCATCGTGCAGCGAGAAACGTATATCGCTTTACAACGAAACGAGAGAGAATTCCATAGATTCGTTTCGAATTCAGTGGTACGAGTCAACGAAAGACGAGACGCATCTTTTATTTATTTTTCCTCGTTGCTCCGCTTGAAAAACAATCTCGAGCAGTCGCCAGAAACCGGAAAAGCGTCGTCCTTTGCGCGTTTTCTTTTTCCGCGATGCTAGGCGACGCGTTTACACGCAATCGTAATTAACCTGAATCACCTCGCGATCACGGAGCCCACGCTCACCGACTAAGCGACGCCGTTGGTTCGTTACGAGAGGGAAGATGAAGCAGACATGCAGATCGTGTTTTTCTATTATGATTCCGTTCGCGTATTCTAGGCCGAACAAACGCGAGACACGACGCTTTTCGAGGAATCGTCGCGGTTCATCGTCGACCCAGTTCCCATGTCACGCTCTCCTTACCAGTTTCCAGAAAATTTGTAATCGCACACTCGTCGCGCGTTCTGAATTTCATTTAAAAACTCTGAATAGATAAACGTTCTCGTAACAATCGCGGTTTCTCTAAAGCGAGTACCAGAGGAAACAAGAACACGCGGATCGTTCGTTCTTGTCTCCAGCAGGAAATTAATGGAGCCCCTTAGAGGATCCTTTGTTCCTATCTAGTTTCTCGATTGAGCAATAAGAAGCACGAGCCAGGCAGTCGACTGGTTCGCGAATTTCTGCTGTTGCTGCTGTTCACGTGGATTGCACACCGCCACTAGGTCCAGCACTTTCATAATTAACTAGCGTAATTTATCTGACCATGTAAGAAGAATAATGAGTAAGCCTGGCTGAAGGGAACGTCGTTTCTACGCTTGATTAATTCGTAAGTTAAATCCTACGACGGGGGTTCACTCGTTTCTAGACAAAAGGATGACGAATACGTATCAGCTGCAAGGAAAATTCACCTATCCTCTCTTACAAAACCAATAAACTAATGTTTCTCTCTGTATGAATAATAAAAAAGAAAAGCTTTAATTTGTACGATCATTGCTGATTCTATTTTGAAACCTTCGCATAAACGTTCATTCTCCCATTTCTTGTTGCCGCCGTTCCGTCGTCTTTTCCGTGACGAATCTCGCTTGAAATCGCGGATTATTCCTACACGACGATAGCGTGCACGATTTATGAGCTATTAATGGGATCCGGAAGTAATCTGTCTTCTCTCTTAGACGTTCCCCGGCGACTGAAATTAATTATCCTTAACCCCGTATCTTTATCGACGATTCGCAAGCAACCGGTAGTCTCGGTACTCGATTGAAATTACACGATAATTATAGCGTCGGCTTTTATTTTCACCTTTGATCGCTTAGAAATTGATAGTGAATTAAAGAGCGCTCGATTATTACGTTCACGAAGTTCATTAGATAAAAGATGCGTTATCAAAAACTTATCCGTACAGAATTCTGTGTAACCGTAGGAAAAACAAGTTGCCACGGTGAATATTTTTTTTGATGTCAGGTTCGGATGGAAACCGTGAAAGGAGTACGCGTGCGAAGGAACGGGTGTGGGTTTCGGTATGCGGCGTGAAATTAGTCGACTATTTGTCATCCTCAAGCTATATTTCGTGCTCATGAATATTCGATCGCGACGAACGACGACCGATGCCCCAACGACTCTGATATCTTAAATCTTCTCGGTAATCGGCTGCTTTCAGGATTTATAAATATCGCGGTCGCGTGGGTCGCCTTCGTTTTTCTTCCTTTTATTCGAAAACACCAAGCGGTTCGATTATTAAGGTAATCGCAATTTTCGCACGATTCGGATGCTCGAAATCGCGCGTCGAGCAAGGTGGTTTCCGGTATCGAGTGCAGAGAGGTCGTTTAAGTATAATCGTCGGAAACATCAATTCCCATCAAAGCGTAGGAGACGCATAGTAACACCCACTAGAGCTACCATTCGTTTCTTACGATTGTTGGCATCTCGGTAAGGTGTGTGTAAGGTCAGAGTGCAGTACGCTACTTCCTCCCATTCTTGTTAAACACTGGCTTCTAATTAATTGCGAACGTCCTTCGAAGAGGATGCATGATAAATAGATGATTCCTTGTAATTTTAGGTTTTTTCCTTATCCCTGATTCTCACGAGATACGGAGAATGTTTCCAAATGATGATAAAGCGAGGCGTGGTATTAGCATCTCAATGGAAACCGAACCGAACTAGGTGCATGAACGAGCTTAAGACCCATAATAAATAACTGATTGATCTCCATATTATAAAACATAGAACATAAGGAATCCTGTGCAACGAATGAATCATCGTTTACAAAAAGAAATACCGTTTAACTAATTAGTAAAGAATTATCTTATTAACCTGTTCACAATAGCCTATGATTTTCTTAATTCCTAGTTTCCTTGGTCAACAGCTTCGGAAGTCTATAATTCTCATCGATAGCTGATAAGCTATCATTTTCATGCAATTTTCTCAAACGTTATTGCACGCTTATTCAAATCTTTTCTTGGTATAATCACTGATAGATAGAGAAATGCATCATTTTTATTTGCAAACCTTTCACTTTGCAAATGCCACTTGCGATGTTAATTAAAATTTCATTAATCAATATTTATCACACCTCTTACATCTCGCAAACTTCCATCGACAAGTTCCTAACAATTTACCTAATCTTTTACGAAAATCAACGTTTCGTTTGAAAGATGTCTCTTCAGGGTATTAAACGTTCAACGGAATTGAATTATTCCTCTTTCCCGGAAGGAGGATATTCGCGTCGTTCCGCAAACCTGGAGGTGCAAATAAGCAACAGGAGCATCGATGAAGTTACAAAGGACGGTGGTCCAGAATGGCGTTGCTCGAAAGGACATCCGGCAAAGGTGGCGTGAAAAGGGTGGAGCGCGGTTTAAGTGGCAGCAAGATATTCGGCAAATAAATCATTCCACCTTCGTAAATCTCAGTGCCGGCCAAGAATCGGACTATTCTTAACAGCACCACTGTGTCTCGTTACTTCGACGAGTTTTATTTACGATGTTAACGCCGTAAAACAGGCTGCAAAAAGGAATTCCTTTCGACTCTATCGAAAATCATCCTTGATGTTTTCCCTTCTGTTTTTTTTTTCTTAGGGTCAGAGTTGCTCGGTTTACAAAGCTTTCTGATGACAACGCCATTGCGTAACAACGCGACAATTGAGCGAGATCATGAATTATGACAACGTCAACGAAATCGAGGCCAGACATCAATTTCGTGTTCGCAGAACGCGTTCTAATTGCAAGACAAACACGACGCGTTTCAGACGATGTGACACATGATCATTGTTGAAAAGGAATCGCGATAAAACGGGGGGAAGGAAAAATTAGCTATATTGTCAGGTTTAATTTGTGCTGTATTCAACGAGAACTTTCTGATCTTGACGAATTCATTCGAAACGTCGAGATTCGAGGACCCGATATTAATGATCAACAACAAACGCATCGAAAATAGAAGCGTTAAGATGAATTCGTAGAAAATGGAAATCTAAAGTTTGGTAATTTCTTGGTAAAAGAAATTCCGACGAGAAGCTTGAAAGAGTGTTTAATTCTTGGTAAAGTGTGTCACTATGGACGACAAAGTTCCCAGTTCCTCTCGAGTGTGGCTGATTGTGAAACTTTATTTATGACCTTGCCAGCAGATGCTGCCCGTAGGTGTACGGTCCAGCAGCAACGGTAAATTGCAACGAGAGTGCACCGGTGTTCATTGTTGCAGCAACAACAATACCGACTCGAGCCACGTGTCCTTGCATCGTGCGACAGAGAGAAATAAAAATCAGAATAGCAGGATTCGCCATCGAAATTGTTAACCTTAATAACGAGCCGCTAATCATTCGCTAATTAAACACCAGAGAGCTATTTCAGAATTTTCATTTTGTTTCAGAGATACTTTATACAACGCCACTTGATTGGACTTACAAGTGTTACACGTTGGAATCATTGTAGAAAAATACTTGTATATTTGCATAAACTTGCTACGTCTACTGATTGTAAACAGGAGAAGCGTGTCTGGTATCAGTCCAGGCGTCAATGTAATTGGGTCACGGTGGTGGGTGTACAAAAGCTAGTGATTAAGGTTAATACCGTTAAATCCTGGTTATTTACTTTTCCTTTTTCGCGTGTCTGCTGATTCACGCCTCGTGTCGCGAGAATGCGATTAAAGAAACGTCTCGTTCAAAATTTCCTCGGTCAATCTTCGCGCGGACGTTGATAAATAGTAATAGCACATAACGACAAGAGACAAGTACTTATTTACATATTAATAGAGAACATTTACCGCTTCGATTCGAAGACCTTCGATTAGCAGGAATGCAAATTGAGAATTGCTGTGGTAATCAAACTGAATATCCATGAAACTCGTGCTATTTTCCATTGTGAAATTTCGTATCAACCGTATCAAGGTTATTGAACCGGGAATCGATGAATTTCGAAAACCCGGGGTCGAAATACCGCGAATCATAGTGTTTGCGAAATCGTCTAGTCGAAAAAAGCACGCGTTCCTCGATCTTTAACTATGGAAATTTCACGAATACCATTCCTGACTCTAACTTCCTCTTATTTATGTAGGAAGCAAAGTATGCAAAGGTGTACAACGAGTACGAAGCACGTATTGAATTAATGAGTAACTGGAACCGAATGTCTATAAATCAACAAAAGGTGTTGAAAGGAACGTACGAAGAGAAACACGAGAATCGGAGGTAAATTAACGCGTTAAACGATCAAGATTTCGAATCGATCTCCAACATTTCTCATCGGTCAGATACACAAACTATTGTTCTAAACGATGGATTAATTTGAATTTCGCTCTATAAATAGCGACTGCGGATCGGATTTAGAGAAAACCTATGCGCCAACAACGATCCTCCGTGTGTTTCATGTATGAAACACGTTGCATAACGCGACGCTTCAAGGTTTGTGTTACGCTTTTGCTTGGACGCTCGTTAGCGTACGAGAACAAAGCGAACAACGGAGTTCAGACGGCCATTTCCGGCCTGTAACGCGTCCCCTGTCAGCCTTTTGTTCCTTTTTTTTTTTTTTTTTTTTTCACTGGACACGCTTAATTTATAACTAATTCTCGCGGTATTGTTCGTCGCGTTTCAACGATCTGCCTATCGAAACAACGAGACGATCCATCGCATTGTGATGTTGAACGAGCGATTTAACGATGAATACAGGTTTTTCAGTCTCTTTGCTGCTGATTCTCCCGCTCGTGACCGTTTCGGTGGTAGAAGTATTCGCGATATGTTTCAGCGTAGGTCGGCTCGCAGAAATACGAACGGCCACTTAATAACTATAAAATTATGTATTTATTGCATAAGCGAGAGCACCGATACGACGTGGCTTCAAAGACCTTTAACTGACTAAATGGCACCTCGTATTAGCCCACTTTGTGCCACCTTTAAACCTCGTAAACGTCCATTAGATATTACGCACGTAATACGGTATCTGACGACGTGGGCTGAGAATGCGGGAGAAGGAGACGTGCCTCTGGCATTGTCTACATAAACGATGCTAAGACGATTTCGTTGTAGATCACCCATAAAAATGATATCGTCGAACCGACGCGACGCAACGATCGCGTCGGATGTTCGCGTCTGAAATTGAAACTATTCGAACAGGTGAAATAGTTGCAGGTTTGTCGAGGATGTTTGACTAATCAACTAGCTTCCACTTTCGATCGTTAATTTCGTTTCGGACAACGGATGGATAATCGCGCTTTCTCGGCTGGAAACGTGTTATTTACCGAGTTATTATGCAAAACAGCGAGACACGCGTCGAATGGAAAATACTCTGTTTAAGTAAACGAAACGCATTCCTACACGGTAGCTCGCAATCGAAGCGACGCGATAATTATCCTGGATAACCTCGTCAGTTTATATCAAGATCCTCGGCTTCGAGTCTATTTCAATACTCTTAATGAGCGACGACATTTGCATATACTTATTAAACAGAATGGATTTCTGTGAGTTTCACGTTCGAACGCGACGAATTCGGAGCATAAAATGCAAGCGCCGCTTTATATTTTATTTAATTCTTTGATTTTTTATCATTTATACAAATATTTTCTTCTATAATTAATATTTCATAATTTTTATGCGCCGCAATTTTGATTGCGAATCGGCAGCCTCGCTGCGCGTTATGCAATTCTCAAGGAGGCAGATATTTCAGAACGATCTCAAACGAGATGTCTATCTTCATCGCAACGAATCAACATTTTTTCACCCAACGGTACGCGCGATCTCCGAAACCTTTTAACAATTTTCGAGGCCACCAATCGAACATTTTCTCGCGTATTCGCGGCTGAATTAATTCGGACAGCTGTCCTCGATACGACATCGCGGTTCTCCTCGTTTTATCGAATTCTCGTAAGGAATTTAACTTCTCGGAATAAAATTTGATGGCGAATCGTCTGACGCAAGCAGAGACAATCGCAAGAAAACTAACGAGACGTTTATGAATCATGCTCGCCGGTTTTCCTCGTTACAAGGGAATTGACATTTTTTCGAGCGGCTCTCTCTGATGTTTCGCGAGGCTCATCAAGCTGAAAACGATGGGCGAATCCGGGACCCGGGGACGGCTGCATCACCGTTTAATTGGACGATGCAAGGGGAAACGAGGTCGGCTGGTAATGAACGCAAAAAGAGAAATTCGGGTCGGTATTGTACCTCGCTTTGTCAAAATAACAGGAAATAGAGCCGAGTTTCTGCAATTTCACCTCTTAGTTTACTCGAGAGAAAAGAACGGAAAGATTCCTGCCGATACATTTTATCAGGCGACGAATAACTTGACAACACATCGAAAGGCGAATTTTACGATTCGATCGAGCCGGTTGAGCAACCGCGAACGGTAGTCGCGACTCGAATTTCACGACTGCAGAAACCACGTAAAGTCAGCCTCCTGGTCACAAGCTACACGAGGGAATAAACCATTTTTACGATCGCGCCTTGTCGACGCCGCGAGGACAAAATACTCGTAACGGTGCTCGTGAAATACGCAAAAAATCGTCGAGACGTTTGTTTGGAAAGAGAGGAGAATTTTGAAATCAGCGAAGATCGCAATTAATAGGTGGTAGGGAAGATGGTGGATGAATTCGAAATTAGACTTGCAAAACATCCACCGTGTCAGACGGTGCGTGTGCAGCAGGCCCGCTTCTATTAGCAAGTCAGATTCCAGAATGGAGGCTCGGTTATCGCGGAAAATCGTACGGTTTATTTGCATCGAGGATTTTCCAGCGGGAAAATAATCTGGATCGGTGATAAACTCGTTATTCCGAGAATTAGGACTCTATTTTCGCGTCGAACTACCGTGCTTCGATAAATAAGCGAAATTTCGCCTTGTACTTTGCGTTCTTCCATTATAGTCGAGGATAGATCCTCGAACCTCAAGGTAATTGCGCGTCAGGGGGTGAATCTAGAATCTAACAAGGGAACATCGGGGACTGATACACTCCGATTTTGATGAAACTTTTTTTTTTAAATCATCCTTTTTACAAAATTGAATTCCCCCTCCCCCTGCGTTTTTAAAAACTTTACGCAGCTTTATAGACCTCAAGAAACGGTATAACTTTTATTTCAACTATTTTTTGATATCTTTTGTTGTTTACGATTTATAAGCACGTATATAGAAAGGGCGGTTCGGATAAAAGGGTTGATATCTCCCTCAAAGTGAAAAACGGGCACCAACGAATTACAGTTATCTTCATAAACAGGTCTAATAAATATTTATGCAAAGTTTCATCAAAATCGGAGTGTATCAGTCCCCGGTGTTCCCTTGTAAGAGGCTAAATACGAGAATTTTCTTCTAAAATAAAGAATTTCCTTTTTTCTGTATTTCACTCGAGTATCACGTGCTTTCGTAGTGACCAAGTTTATTCAATGACGAGGATGAGGTCTCTCCTCAAACGTACAATCTTAATCCTTATTTATTCAAAAACAAAGCTTTCCAGTTTAGACACGTTTCTATCTAACAGAGTAGAATTGCGAGATGCGTTAAAGCTATTTGAACGAGACAGAATCTAAAATAAATATTTTTCTCGATTCTATCCTAGCTGTCTACCGAAGTTAATCTTTAGTGTCTCTAATCCATCGAGAGGAGACAACTTGAACCGGAAGCTGTAACGGTGCAGTTATGCCCACGTGCGAAAAGTTCCCTCGAATGTCGCAATCGAGAAGTCGAAAGAGTAACGGTGGAAGCGGTCGTTGAAGTCGCCCTTTAAATAGACGGTGCCGCCTTTTCTCGTCGTGGAACGCCGTCTATTTCAGGACTACTCGCAGTCTCGAAATAAAATCCATGATTCATGCCCCTTTGTTTGGTGTAGGTGGTCGGCAACAACACGCGATTCCCTCTATCGTGGCACGGTTATGCATTCGCGTACACGTGTTTCCGGTACAACCAGCAACAATAAGGAACTCGGTCAGACGATGCTCGCGGTAAAAGGATGAAACACCCTTCGGAGATCCTATTTTACCGCGAAGTTAATTTTCAAATTTCGAATCTCCTGTTTACACGAACCTATTTCTTAAGTCCGAGTTGTGCCCGGTTATTGAACGCATTCGATACGATCGATCTTGCGTTCACTATTTCCATATGCATCGATATTAAGGTGACACCCCTTAAGCGTATCTAAAGGAAGGAAAAGTCGAGGGAACCGGTTGGAACGATCGAAAAAAAATGACACGTGCGCAACGCACGACTGTCGCTTAATTACAATGCAGATTGCAATCGCGACTGCATAGAATGCATTCTACTTTCTGAAACGATTGCATGGTTATCAATGGAATTTTCAACAGTTTTACCGTTCAAGTGAAATATAATATCGCGAACGATGTCTGACTAATCCCGGAAACGTTTCGTTTGCTTTCGACCGATCACTTCCGGCGGCGGGCCAGCTCGTGTTTTCGTGAAACGATAATCCTAGGAGCGACGACCTTTTTTATCACCCCGAGGAGCAAAGTTTAATCGTTATCTTGGCTCCAGTTCGAAAGAAGAGAGATAAAGATCGTTTCGAAGGGGAAAATCGAGGAGGGATCGCGTTTAATTCGCGTCCGGTCGCCCACGCGATTCGCGTGTCGCGAAGTAAAGGGAAGCAAAGCGACGCGACGGTGAACGGAAAGAGAAAGAGAACGGTGTACACGTTTTCATTCATGCGCGACCCACTGAAATTTCATTCAACGATCGAGCTTTGCAACGAACCTTCAATAATACCGGTCTGCCTTTCTCTTCTGCCCTCGGAACCTGTCGCCGCGAACGGGTTTCACTGATTTTCCTCGTTAAATCTCGTTGACACGCATTTTACGCTCGAATTCAGACACCCGACGTCATTCGAAACGTTTCCAAGCAACGGTTCATTCATCGGAATCAAAGGAAAGATCGTTAGAATCTTTTCAAACGTTATCTGAAAGAAGGCTGTGGTGTTGAAAATTTTCTATTAGAACGCGAAATTCGAACGATCATTTGGAGAAATCGCGAACACCAGTCGATTTCTCGTTTCTCGAGCCGGAGCTGACTCAACGCACGTTCCCCGTGTGCAAAGATAAGCCAGTAGAAATGGATTAATATGGTGCAACGTGCACCGTGTCCTGTTACCAAACAACCGGTCACCGATAATGCAACAGTATTCTAAAACGAACCGCAGACGGTCGTGGTTCTTAATCAACGGGACTATAAATACGAGGTCTTTTATTTGGACCCGTTGTAATTTACGCAAAGCGGATTACGTGAGAAACAACTGATACTTGTTCGATTTCCACGGGAACGATACGATCGAACGATGGAATGACAGGAATTTCCTGATTGTGAAACCGAACCGCGATGGAAGATCCGCGAACGCGATACCCTCGAGTTCCGCTAAAAAGAAGAGTCACTTTGCCACCGATAAATCAGATCGTATCGGCTGTCGAACAGATTGCAATGATGTAACATCGAGGGACAGTCTGGTCGAGGAGCATCTCGAAAGCGGTACCATCTTCGCTTATCCTCTTGTTAGCGGCACGAGCGAGAAATGAAGTCGTAACACTCGAACAACACTCCAAGGAATCCATGTTTTTCCTTACATCACCGTTTATGCAACCGATTGCAATCGGAAACAAACGATCCGATGATTTCGTAATCGCAAATTCAAGATTGTTTCGAGTCTAACTCGAAAATGGAAAATTGTTAGAAAAATTGTTTGAAAAATGAAACAGTGGGATCGATTCTAAACGATCCACAAGATACGCAGCGAGAAAATGACTCGACTATTGTTAGAGTCTAATACAAAGATATTACGCGGTAACCCCGCGGGAATGCATTAGTTGATAGAAGCCAGCCTCGATTCTTATAAATAATTCAACGCGAAGCGAGCGGATCTTTTATAGTTTAAGGTGGAAAAGAAGACTCGGCTGACAAGTGGTGGAAAATAAAAATAGTGCCGCTCTCAGTCGGCCAAGGCTGCGGCTCGTGGGTGGATGCACAAATCAGATTTTTGATTGATCTTTCATTATCTATCAACGTCGCGTTAATCGTTCTGGCTCGTGGAACAAAGACTGGACGCCTCGTAACTCATTTTCCAATAGTGAGAGGTGCAATCGTTTACCATTATTTTGAATGATATTTTCACTTAATTGCGAAGTAAATAAAATGAAAATACGATGCTGTGTCAAGGCTAAACGATTGCCGAGTGTGGGCGAAGAAGCACACCGTTGCACCGGCTGGAAAACACGTCAGATCGAACGTTCGAATGATACACTAGCCGTCAGGCTAGTTCGATTAGCATAATATTGACTACGATTTAGAATCGACTGATCGTTGATTCGGTCGACGACGCAATTGCTGGACTACGTTCGACTATTCCTTGCCTGATTATAGTCACGCATTTTCCACTTGCCGTCACGCCACTTTAAGCGCACGGAATTCACAGAAACCGTTCGAGGGGAATAATTGAACTTACCGAGATTAAAGCAGGTCACGGAGGACGTTAGAATATCAAAGCAGGAATAGTCGACGAGTGGAGGCGTTAAGGACATTCCAAGGTCAAGAGTGTTTCTGCAAACAACACTCGACACGCATCTAATATGTCCTCCAGAGAATAATTTTTCTGTTTCGCTTTAAATATAACTGCCAGCTGCACGAATGCAACGAAATACAAATGGTTAGTTGTACGCTATGGAATGTTCGATTACGCAGCTGAAACGAGACAAGAAACACGCGAAAGAGCATTATCCTCGAGTTACAAATGCGAAACGTTCTGATAAGCAGCTTGCAGACGCGAACGACACCGATAGTTCTCGAGCAAAGGTGAAAGGAAACTGGATTTAAGCTTGTACAGAATGGAACCGGTTTCGATTCGTTTCGAACCATCAGAAAGAAGTTTCCCGAAAGGAAATGCGTGTACGAATAACAAAGAACCAGCATGGTGGCTCGAATTAATTTTAACCCCCATAGCGAGGAGTTCATTTGCATTTTTTTAATTTGACAGTTTTAATATTAACTTTAATATTATTCGTGCAGAAGATGAATTTAAAGAAAGGACGGACGTACCAGTCGATTTCTGTAATCCGAGGAAACATCGTGCCCCGAGCTTCGACGAAGCTGTTTGATACCTCGTGGTGGCGCCGCAGTCCGCATTTTCCACTTAACCTCACTCTCTAGTTTCTCCTATACCTCATCACTGAATTTATCACGCGACAGATAATTTCAGGTGATAGTTAGTTTTCACAAACGTTTAGAACGTAACGAGCACATTGCGTGCACGCGATATCGATTTCGTTTGTACGCCTGTCACGAGTTTAATCCGACAATTACCAAGACGCGCTTTGAAAGCTCGTCCCGCCAGAAATCATGGAGGGCGTCCGCGCAAGCGTTACAGATCATAAGCAATCGAGTCTCCTTCGCTGCGAGGAAGTTACATCACTGTTGAAAGGTCACTGGTCGGATCGCGACGTTCACTACGATTCACCCACGTGAGTTCTTCATCGCGCTTGTCGATATTCGTCGAGCAATTTCGATAAAGCGTACGCATCGAACGCGTCCGGTTGCACGACACAGCTGTTCGTATGCACACTTTTCTCGAGGTATAGACGTTTATCGCGTATCTCGCACCTTTCGACATTGACCACGTAATTTGTAACGAGCGAGAAAGCCGTAATTACCGCGGCCGTCCTCGTAAATGTACGACGATAACTGGCAATAGACACTCGAGCCACGAAGCGTTCGACGAAAGTACCGCGGCTGCGCCATGCGTCGTCCCACTGTTCCTTCTATACTTCTCGATATCTCGAAGTATCTCGAACCCGTTCGATTTCGAATACTCGCGCCTGCGATTAGTTTTCGTTTCGACTGTCATTCCAAATTATCTGCAGTCTAATGATGACAATACTTTGTTTTCCTGAATCATTCTTCGAGATTAAATTCGTGTAATGATTCGAGCAACCAGTGACATCGAAACAATTTGTTTCGTTCAATGACCTCGCGAAGCTTTGAACGGAAAACAAGAGAATTCTCGCGTTGCGCGTACGCGCCACCTGGTGGCGCGGTTTTCAAACATTC